AAGTTTTACGCAATCAGAAATTAAAACTTCCCATTTCTTACACTAACAAATATTGTACAAATATTTTTTATTGTTTATAGATCTAACGGGAAAATAATTAACTAAGCAGAAAGAGACAGATACAAGATATCGTTAAATTACAGGTGCTCTAATCATAAATTTGTTAGCGGCAGTAAAGTAAAACAATTAAAATTGTTTCCTTTAAAAATAATTACAATAAATATTGCAATTATACCCAGTATCTGCGCAGGAATGTTAAAAGATGAATCACAGATGAGTCACTGCAGTGTGTTGCAAAATTTAAAAGCCATTATTTATGTTCACTTTAGAGTGTGCGTTCCAATCGATCACTAATTTTATTGCTTTTTTGCACCAGGAAGCGAATTAGGGCCGAAATAAAACCAGGGACAATTAATGAGCGCGGAAATTTCGGCAACCGCGCGCACAAAAAATCGTCTCAGTCGTAAAAAAAGAGGACTGCCGTTGAAATAAAGCAGTTAAGTTGAAATTTGGCCCGCGGCCTGACACGGGCATAAAAGAGGACGTTGTTTTATTGCGGGCTGTGATGTAGGCGGCAACGGGCCTTGGGCAATCCACATGCTTCCTATACGGTAAGGCACCTAACTACCACCTACCTGCCTTCTTTTCCCAGCGTATATACAAAAAGAGTTTATTGAAATAATAGCTACGGGATAACAAAATAGGCAACAAATCTCGTAATGATCCACACCCACATCTCTCGTCGGCGCGGCGGGTTCTCTCACGGGAAACGAGGTTAACTTTGTGCTCTATGCCCTTTGGATTTTAATTGATACGTGCAGCTCAAATACACAAAAAGGCGAAGGGGCGAGAATCAAAGGGTTACTTTCGGTGCCCGCGAGCATTGGGAATAGATAAATAACCTGCTGGAATGTTCTGATTTGTTCGGTCATGGATTCCCATTGATTTAATGATCATGGGAAATCCACCAACAAACAATATGAGGTTTAAAAAAATTCTATTCTTAAAAATTTTAATCCAAATCTTCAACGTAACTGATTTTATTTTGAAATGAATATATGTACCATAAGTAACTTCATAAAATATAAGAAACTTCACCTAGAGGCGTAACTGCAATAATATATAAATATTTCTATGTGTTAATTCATTAAAATAATAGTATATAATTAGATTATATAAACATTGATAAACATCACTAATTATTTGGTTATGCATATAAAATGAGAGTTCTTAAAGAATGAAAATGGGATTATAATTGACATTCAATAAAATTAAAGTTAATTAAATTAATCGTCATTTTTACCAAATTAGGAAATTATAATTTTTGTAACATGTGTCTCAAAATATTTTATATGAGTATACAGAAATATTATATATTATTAAACTTAATTTTTGAATAAATTCTGACCCAATTGAAAGCTCATAAAAAAATGCAAAATTTTCACCGGCGCAGCCTCTTAAGTATGCCGAAAAAGCGAGCCGGGCGCGAAAGTTGCGTGCAAGGGCCACAAGTCGAGTATCAATTTACGGCAGCCGCATTATGAACACATCAAGATATTTACCGTAAGAGGATTACATATGTCACAGCAGCACAGCTTTCTGCTGCTCGTCCAACTCGGCGCGCATAAAAAATATTTACTCCCACCGCATGCGAGAGAGCGGCTACCTAAATATACATAATATCACAACGTGCGCGCTTGAGAATAAACGCACATTTCGCACGTACACATAATCTCGAGTCATAATCTGGCGCGGCGTATCTGTTAAATGACAAATTGTGAGAAACGCGATAATCTGCTAAGATGCTGCCGCTCTTTAGTTATGACAGTGTAGGCTACTGCGTTTTGTCCTTGGCATTCCACCGCTTTTTTCAGGGATTAGAGAAAGAGAGCGACTGGCGAAAAGGTTTTGTAGAAGAAAGAACGTTTAATAATTTACCTCTCTGGCTTGACACGTGGCGAGATAAGAAAATAAGAGTGGTCTAGTGCTCGACCCACACGAGATTGAGATGCATTTTCTGTATACCAAGAGAGGACAGATAAATATATAAATCTCGGCGCACGTCCCTTTTATCTGTCTGAAGCAAATTAATATCGCGCGCGCAGACAAAACAATTTGTCTGCTGATTTAATGCACTCGGTATTTCTCTAAAAGCGGCAATAAAATAAATGTGAAATATCCGAGTTATCCATCAAGGAAAGCCTTGCTGGCAGTTTAATTACCGCAGATCAAATTTAAATTAAATGGATGTCTTGCATTTCAAATGTACAAGAAAATGAGCATTATGCAACACGTGCAACCACCTGCGACAAGCAGGTTGCATAACTAGCGACGAGACCAATTTATTTATTTTTTTTATAAATTTAAATTAAAATAAAAGAATTTAAAGTTTCGGATCAATGAACGGTTTTTTTATTTAAACTGGTTGAATTTTCAAAATGCAGACACAAATCATAAAATTAATTTTTATTTCAAATATCAGGTGAAATCCCTTTCAGCAAATTTTAACACTTCATTATTACATCTTGGCGAAAAGATGAATAGGAGAAACTCGGCGGGCACGGTGTGTCTGTAATTATTTTCACGGCCCAGTAGTCATTATTAATCCCTAAGCCAGGTATTAAATACGAAATGAGTTTCTCCGAGTGGAAAGCGCTGCTGGGCAAACGGCTCCCGATCCAAATAAAAACGGGAGCACCTACGTGTGTTACAAACTTACAAACAGCCTTCGGAGAGCGATAAATAATTCAAGGTAAAATTATTCCCCGAAACGAAATTAATTGGACCGCTCTGAGCCACAAACAAAACACACCCACGCCGCATATTTAGATGAGAGTGATAGGAATGGGAAAAAATATAGAGAAGCTACCTGTGTTGAGCGTGATTGGTACAAAAGAGATGATTGCGTGACGAGCGCGTTATTACTATTAGTGCGGTTGGAAGGAAAGGATTGGCTGGCGCGGAGAACCAGTAGCCTTTTTGATATCAAAGCAACAAGTAGCAGCCGCGATTCCCCCAGGTGTGTAGTTCGGTAGTCCCCACTATTTAACCGGTAGCGCCGTCCTTCCTAATGGAGGAGAACGCACGTAAAGCGTGTGCGGTGCTCTTTCGCAGAAAAAATAAATTGCGAAAGCTGCGACGTCGTAATCTGGGTGTTTTAATCTTTTTTTTTAATGTACGCGCTTTTCTTATCTTTCACGTCGGTTTGTGTGCGTGCTACATTTTTAATATTTAGAAAGGACCACCCATTCGGCGACGTGACGAGTTTTACAAGTTTCCTGATATGACGAAAAAGAAGAAGTGATGCTTTTATTTTTGGGTTTTATGGCAAGCGGCGGCGACCCTGTGCTCTTTTCTCCCGTAATCGCATCTCTCACTCGGATTTTGAGCGACGCCTACGCCAAATGAGGAAACAAGCTGTTGTGTTTGATTATTCACCTCTCACCGCAGAGACCGAGTGATATCACGCGTGTGATTAATCCGGGATGCTGCGAGCTCAGATTTCGGTCGATATGCTCATGATTCTTATTAGTCACTGCAGGAAACAATGGAGTTTATAATCTGATATTGAGACCCAACTCGTGGGAAAACCGCGTTTATATAATTGTTTCACAATATACTTCATTGTTATTTTGTACAGAACGTTAATTTTTTTAGAGAGCAATAAGCAAATAATGGTAATCATATAAAGCTGTTTTAATGCTTCATTATTCATTTTGGTTAAATCTAAATCATATTTTAATTTTATAGCTTTTAATATTTTAATTTAAAAGAGAAAATTATATACCTATTCATAAATTATTTTATAATATTCATGTATCATAAGTAATTTATTTAAAAGTTTATTTTTTTAAATTCTAAATAAATTAAGCCCAAGCCAAAGTTTCTTTTCTTAATACATTAAAATTTTAAGTTATATAATAATGAATTAATTAAAGTAATACTATATATAATACTATAAAAAATAAAAACATTATAAAATAGGTAAATCATATATGGATTATTATAAAAATTTTTAATTTTATATACAATATTAAACTTTCTTACTTAATAGTTTTGTGTATGAGTTTAATATGCATTCACTGTTATCACGTTGAATGCCTCTTGGCCACTTACTAGAAGCTAATTGCTCGAAATTTCACGGATACTGCGTGCTAGCGACTTATAACTCCGAGCCGCGTGTTTAAACATCCATTAATGTGACATGACTTTTAATTAAGTCCAAGAGAGTTAATGAAGAGAGGGCCCCCTGCGCATTGGCGGCTAAATTTCGTTTGATTTTCTTAAACACCTCATCATCGTGCGGTGCTGCTCACTTTTTTATGCTGGACCAGCGTCTCTAATAATAACTAATGCAGATACCTACCGCGTTAAAATATTAATGTTTCTGCCACACCTCAACGGTAGTGACCATTGCGCGGCTATATAATACGCAGGCGGCTATTTTAAAAGGTATTATACTTTTCGATTATGTATTTTTGACTGATGGATCGTCAATGGAAACGGATTGGGTTACTCGTGTTCAGAGCAAAATAGCCGCGCCGAACCTTTGAGTCGCTTCGGCCGCGATATTATACAGAAGCAAACAAGTTCATTAATTTTCTCTTGAAACAGAAACTCATCGTTGGGGAAAAGACCGCGCCGGCTCTTTAAAGTGCGGAAACCGCCGTTTCGAATCGAGTTATTGCCCTGGGTAAACATCTAGATAACGAGAGACCGCCTGGACCGTTTTCCAAAGGTTAAAGAAACGGAAAAAATGGTTCAATTAAATATTAATTAATTTTTTCAGAATGTAAAATACATTTGAATTAAAGTGTGGCAGAATCATTGAATAAATTTGGTCGACAGAGACAAAATCTTACCGTGTCCTGGGAAATCACTGAAATCAGCTGGTCGGCGGTCGAGAAAATTCTCAGAAAATGCTCGAAAGTCATGCAGAGAAAGCGAAAATACTTGGCCGGAGCTCGGCCGAAAAGCAATAAAGCAGTGTGAAATATTACCTTAGCGGTCGGTAGTGTTGGCGCAGAGTTGCAGGAGGACTAAAAAAGCAGCAGGTCTGCAGTCCCGGTAGCCAGAGGTGCTTCTGAGGGTAGTAGCCGAAGATGATGATGCGGTGGAGGACAGACAAGGACCATGAATAACACCAGGAGGCCCCAGCGCTCTCCTACCTACCGTCAGGAAGCCACAGCCCCCCTCTCGCAGTCTGGTAAGGTTCTCGCGGTAGCAGTCTCCGTCCCACCTACGATTCTTTGGCTCCACCTCCGTCAGGGCTCCCGCATTTTCCATTTTTGTACTTTCCAACGGGCTGCATCTCACTCACTCGGAGAAATAATTATATGAACCCACACACATATCTAGCAAATAATATATTTATGTGCGATTTATGCTTACACGTTTGATTTTCTAGTCGGAGACGCGCGGAATAGTGCAATTCTACACTGGCTGACCTGTGACCCGCCGGTGGTAGCACCGCTATAATAGTGTGCGTCACTCTTGATGATGATGAATAATTTAATTTTTCTCTAGTCGTGACTCTTGGCCGTTGGCTGGTTGAAATGATGAGGCACCAAATGAGCACCGTTTTTTGCGTTTCAGGGAGGCAGCAGTTTTTCTATTGCCGTTAGTCTCGTAGGCGAAAGAGATAAAGAAAGCCCCGCTTTTCAATATGTGTCATGAGACAAAAGGCAACGGTCGCTTCTTATTTTTTTGGTGCCAATTTTTGAACCTATACTTATTTTGTTCCAATCATTAAGGAAAATGTTTTAAATTTCTAAAAGGCTCAAGATCAAGATTTATTATGTGATGTAATGAAAAATATTTACTCATTACTGAGAATGATTTAATAATAAATTAATTTTTAACGAAATCCCGTTCCCTGAAAAGAACATTATTATGCAACCAGAACACATATACACCCACATGGTTGCATAACTTGAAATTATTAAAACGATACAACTTCTAACCTCTTCCTCCTCGTTTTATTAAAATTTAATATGTTTATTTTGAGTTATGCAAAAAATAATTAATATAAATAAACATAAGGATGATATTAATGCTAATCAAATTAGCGCACATACACCATGACTGTGTTCAGGTTTATCAAACTTAATTATTAATTCAATGCTACTAAAAAGTTGTAACATTTCTCGATCACAAAAGCTTCCACACTAATTGTAAGTAAATTTTCAGAAGAGAGTGCAATTTTTATGACTCGTCACGGTTCATTATAAAGTAATAAAAACTTATAGGCGTTGCATTTAAATTATTTTCATCTTGCGTGCACGTTGGAAAGTTTTTTTTTCTTTAAATGAGTAGTTAGCAGGTGTATACCGATGACCTGCACGCGTTTACTACTGCTAGGATAATTACTTCTCAGTTTAAACATTTATCGCACCCCTGCACTTACGTGATGACTCAATTATGAACCATTTGCGAAGACATGTTTGTATAAAAGTTCAACTGCAATCAAGCGGGGAAATTAAAGAAATAAAAACAATATATTTTTATGAATATTAGGTACAATATATGAATTAAAAGATGACAAACCATCACTAAGAGCTAGATTAGAGATTTCTACTTAGATAATTGGATTAAAAGCATTGATTAGTTGAATACTTTATGTCTTTGATTTTTTTATTTCTTACTCAATTTCACTCCAAATTTCCCAGTATTTTTTTTTTCAGTTCTTTTAACTGGGTTCTTTTTTATTTTGGAAAAACAAATTTAAAAAAATCTTATATTGTTATGATTCAAAATTAATTTAATTTGTAAAATAAAATACAAGTTTTATAAAAACTTTTAAATAAAACAAAACTTTTTTATTATTTAGCACTCAAATCCCTCATGTGCTTTCTTTGTGCGATCGGAAGATAAGGAGCTGAAATTTGAGAGTGTGCTTTTTATTGATACAAGATAAGCTCGCGGGCCGGTTGGCCGACTTAATGTCAAAATACAATCCATCATCAAATTATTAGTTTGAATAAACATAATATTGTAATAATCGGGCTGGCTGCTCGCGATACCAACTGGAGCATTAATGGTGCTGAGCCATTTAAGGTCACGATACCTGACGACGAAAAATAACTTTCTCATAGATCTCTCGGCCGGCTGGGGCTGGCTGCTCGCTGTTGGTGGGCAGTCCTGAAAAATATTTCTTAACAGTTGCGTCTACCGAACAATATTCTTTTGGGAGCGGTGAGTGAGTCGAGAAATTTTTCTCCGTCGTGGGAACTGCACAGTAGCGTGGCCAAGGCCCCCTCTCCGCAGTCGTGCTATACTTGGAGGTAGGCGTTGATTCTGGTCGATATAAAAAATATTCCAGCCAAAGGGTTACCTCCTTCCGAGCGGCCCATTGGCCAGACCAAGTCACACCCTATGCCTTGATAAAAAAATATTATTCTCGATTGTAACATCCTTTGCGGCACATTAAATTAATGCAGTCGCCCAGCGCGCTCTGCCTCTTTTTATTTCTCCGAATGGAACTCGCTCGCTTGCCCGGCGCTTTCCGTTCGGAATGTGATTCGACCGCAGATTAATTGCCCCTCGTAAAAATTAAAAAGTAGTTAGGGTCGCGCCGCTTCAACCCTTTTACATGATAATTAGCGCCAAGAGGTGGATGATTCATGGGTTCAAAAGTTTACGACTCTTTTGGGTCTCTGCCGGCGAAAGATGTCAAAATTTACTTCTGTATGATTGATGAATTTCGTGGTATCAATAAGGAAGAATTCTGTTTGCACTTAAGTGCGATTTATTACGAAAGTATAAACAACGGTCATAAAAATATAAAGTCGAAGATTTGCAAAGCCCATTATACATATTATATTTTTTTATTGAAGATTGTCGATTATATATGTTGCTATAATCTAGTGGCAATTCATAAAATAATCGCTCCAGAGAGATTTCCCTCTGTAAAATCAAATTTAAAGAATCGGACGCCTGAACAGTACAGTGACAACGAGTGAGGGGAAAAAACTTACAAAAAGAAAAGATTCAGCTCCACAGTGGCAATTCAGTTTTAGTTATTACTACTAAATTTATTACGTTAAATAACAAAAGAAGGAAAATATCAAATAAATTTAAAATTATAATAATTAAAGAACTTTATTGCAGCAATCTTGAAATAAAAATGCTCAAATTGACCAAATTTGTAATAATATACGCTTTTTTGGTTGAAAAAAAAACTGAAGAGAAATTTATGATTGAAGTATAAAACAAATAATTTGCACTATACCTAAATAAAAAAATTGCCGAAGTAGTTTCGACTTCTGAAAATCATAAAAAATTAAACAACTAACTGAATTTTATATTGTAAGAGCTATAACATTAAAAAAAGAGTATTAATAGTTTCATGAAAGTTGATTGAAAATAGGTTTCTCCTCAAGGGGTTTTATTTCCAGTCACTTATTGTTCCATAGAGAGGGAAAATACAGTATATAGGTTTTTTTCTGATTTTAATGTTCAATTTAAATTGAATTAAATCATATTAAATCATCATGAATCAATCCTAGATTTGGAAATTCACCTACAAAAATATGATGTTCATGACAAAAATACAAAGGGAAAAAAGCATGGACTCTTTTTGAAACACTTTCATTAACTTATTTCTAATCACATGCAGCTCACGTAGATCAAGAAGTGCCGTTTGTGTGAAAACTCATCTCATCGCATTTCACACGTGAAGAGGAAACAGTAAATTACGTTTGACAAAAAGTGTGATTGCCAATTGGTATTATAAGTCGGAGAGGGCGAGCAGAGGAGAGTTGTGTAGCACGGCTGGCGACTGCTATGCGTGCAGGTAATTACAAGATAGAAGTATCAATCATTTTGGTCGGTGATTTGCATAGAAGACGCATTAACGCGCTGCGAAGCCGAGTGCTCAATTATCGTGACACGGCGCGGTAAATTATTGAAGAGGCCTGCCGCCTGTGAGAAATAAGCAAAACGCTCGTCTGTATGACGAGTCCGCTCTTTCCCAGTGCCCAGAGTAATTTGCCTCGCAAAAACTAAAGGCAAAATTGGCAAAAATAAATATATTATGTAATTCTTGAACGTACAAACACACACCCTGACCAACTCACATGGGCCAGAATTGAAGATCAAAGTTCACCAGACGAAAAAAAATTCTTAGTATGTGTGGGAAAAGTCTTGCTCTCCAAGACAAGTGCCTATACAAATACTATTTATTTGCGTTTCGTCTAAACAGCCGCCTACTCGACAGTTTTGCACAAAGGTGAGATAAGAAAAATGGGCGCCCTGAAAGAACAGAAAAGCACTTACAATTAGTTCTGCTCATTCTTGTTTAAGTATAAATATACAACATACATGAAATATACAACTACAATAAAAATAAAAATATTCACCTTAGTTAAAAGTAATTAATTATGGTAACGTATCGTTCACTTTTTATTTTATTTGCCTCTGAAGCTGATCGATTGCATGAACTCCAGTAATTCTCTCGATTTACGAGTAGAAAATATTGAGTAAAAATCCTGATCTCCTTAATATGGGTTTAAAATTTTGTTGAAATTAAAGAGTAATTATTTCAATCTAATATTAAATAAATTAAGATAAAAGTTATTGCCTATACAAAGTATTTTGCACGTTAAATTTGTTTAAAGTTTACAAAATAATTAAATTAATTAAAAAAAATCATAGAAGCAAGTAAAACAGTTATTTTGGATAAAAAAAACTGTTATTTTTTTATATTATTATTTAAAAGATTTAAATTATTGTAAAATTCTATATTTAACTTGTAATTTTATATCAGAAGACACATACAAATCATGTTTTTAATACATAATTATACATTTTTTTTATAATAAATTTTGTATTAGTTTAAGCCTTCCAATATTTTTTTCTTTATTTTTAAAATAGTTCCATCTTATAAATTTAATTAATAAAACTAAAATTGAAATATTTTTTACCTCAGTAAAATGTTTTCATATACCAATATTATTATTTTGCTGACATGTATTTGGCACGTTTGATCCCTAAGGGTAAATTGTAAATTCAAATTCGGTGCGTTATTCACATGTAATTATGGTGATTATTTGGCTGCTTATTTCGTTTCACGCGCGAGCCTTAATAACAATTCGTCGGCTGCGGGTATTGTTTCCAACTTGGGCGTGACTGAAACAAAGCCATTGTTTTCACCGCCACCTTATGATAATTCGAGAGTATACGACGACAGACAGGTGACACCCTGTCTCTGCAATCGATCTTCTGAAGTGGCGGAAATAATGGAGAGATAACATGTGGAGATCACAGCACGCGTATACAAGTCTTATCGGCTTAAGCAAATAAATTTTGATTTGTATAAAAAAAATCATGAACATATTTTCAGACCGACTAGCCTTGAGGTTTTTCACATTATTGTGTTAATTTTCTTTTGGCCACGGAAGTTGATTTTTTGCTTTCTTTTTACTCCCTCGTGCGGAGGAAATGGCACATTTTATGTTGAGGTGCATTTTGTTTGAAGGGTTGAATCAACAGGCCAAGAGGACGGAAGTGCATCGTTTTTTCAGAGAGTGTGCCACACAACTTGGGTTACACAGCGCACGCACTACTCTCTCAAATATATATCCCATTACAAATACAAAGAGTTGTGCGAGTTGTTTGCTTTTATCTGCGCCGCGAGACGCGCAGCGTGTCTCCTCTTTTTTCCGTGTCTCTCTGCAAACACGACGAGATTATGAGAAAAACGAGGCATAAATCGGAGATACCTCTGGAAAAGTACACGAATGAATAAATAAGCCTAAGCTGGCAGTGAGTAGGCAATTCTGCTAAAAAGCATCACGCCCACGCACCGAGGGGCTGAAAATCTCACTTAGCGCGTCTAGTCGCCGCCGCCGCAGCTTTATCTCTATCCAGGTGTGGGGCCAACGAGTTTTATCGAAAGTAACTTAATACGTTTCATTTTGTGCCCACACCAACTACTTCAACGGCAGGAAATGATTTTGTAATTCTCCGCCTAAACTGTTGACGGTTAAATTAATTGTTATCCACAAGGGTTTTAAGTCTGGGTTTGAGCTATATTTTCATAAAAAAGTCTCACTAATTTGGGGATCAAAGTTTAAAAGAAACAAGCTTGTACTTTTAACAAGAAAAAAAAATGTTTAAAAAGCTACATTTTTATCATTTTAAATATCAAATAGTCTCTAATTACAATTCTGGTATACAATTTTTTTTTTAAATTTGATACAATTATAATTGTGACTTAATTGTGTAAATTTTGAATATTTTTTTTCTCCACAAAATAAAGGTGAGTAATATACCTTACCTACTACCTGCAGCAAACTAGATGCGTTTGAATTATTAAAATTTTAAGGCGGCATTAACTTTTTTCTGTTCCTGCAATTATATTGTTGACCTTTATTTCAAAAGTTATAAAGTTATTTTGAATATTATGTTGGGCAACACATATAATGAATTAAAAAAATTAAATATAGGGACAAACAGATTATTGTTTTGTGTAATAAAATAATTTTATGTAATCTGCAATAAATTCATTTTACAAATAAACCTAGTCGTGATAATAATTTTGGTACCTACATTCCCAATAAAAATTAAAATTTTATTCTCCGCCAAAACATTAATTATTTACTTTTTTCTTCAAGATATTTCACATTTCAATAGAAGAAAATTGGAAATTGTCAATAAATTTTTTTTTTTAAAAAAGAGGATTGATATAATGCAAATTTATTATTGAAATTTGTTTTTTATAAAAGTCAATCTCTTTTGTTCCATAGAGAAGGTAATCTGTGACTCTTTTAATTTTCGCTCTGATCAAATGCTCGATGATGTTGATTCTCAGTGGCCATTTTATTTTGAACAACGGCTCCCACAGCCTGAACGCGGTGGCAACGAAGGTCAGAGCCGGCTGGGTGGACTGCTCTGCGGCGGCAGCCATGTTGGTGCTCACTCAAGAGCATTGTTGAATGATTAAACAAAAAAGATCAGCACGCGGTGATGGCATCAAAATCACGATGGGTGGGAGCTGCTTTTTTATTGGCCAATAAGCTCGACCCGAGCTGCACGAAGGTGACCTCTGACCCAAGCACTCCAACGTACACCGAGCAGCCATCAACTTGGCAGCCCTTTTACGTACACGGCATTTTTATCTTTGCCTACGCCCGTCCGTCCTTTGCATCATTTCTGCTCAATTATACACGTCGTAAAACTGTGAGGCGCTCGCTCACTCCTCGCTTGGCTTGTCAAGATATTTTCAATTTCAAAAGAATCACTCGCTATACGTGATTTCACTCGAATCAAGTGCACCTATCACTAGCACGCAACCTAGCCTATGTTTCTGTGTGAAAATCAGATAAAAGAGATATTATATATATGCGCCGGCTTTGGAAATCGGGAAGTGAAACTAGATAATTAATGCGAGCTTTCTGATCGAATCGTTTGCAACAGAAATCGCTGCATGCGAAACTTTGCTCACGTTTTAAATGCTGCTGGAAGTTCATAAACTTTTAAAAAGTTGAAAAAGAAAGACGGATAATTTTTATTTTGCATCTTAAATTTTACATTTTCAAGAAGATTCAAAATTTTTAGTCAATTCAAAAAGCGGCGGCATGTTATTTTGGTGCCAAAGAAATTCTTTGCATGACAGAGGCTAATCAAAATGAAAAAAATGACTCAGTCGGTCTCGCTCTGTGTGAATGTGATTGAACAAAAGAGCGATATACACAATGGAGTCGGCAATAATAAGAACACAATGCCTCTATTATGCTAGAAGGAGAAAGATGCTCTCCAGAGAGATCGGGCATTCATGCATTAGTAATGCTCTTTAACTTTGATGGCATGCAATATGGGAATGGCGCGTACATATATAAAATAATAATGCCGTAAATACAATGCAAGCCGCGCCGGTCAATTCTCAGTCAGCAGACTCCATCAACGCACGCGTCTGCTGCTTTTTCAGTAATTTGGCCATGGTGTGCATTTCCAAGAGGTGCCTCAGCTCGGCGTTTTGCTTTTTGATCCGCCCAACTTGTTCGTTGACTTCGTGCCGGTCTGTCAAAGCTTATTATTATTACAAGTTTCAGTGCGTAAGACACTCTCCAAAATTTTTAAAAATATCTGGTTTTACTTTTACATATTGGTCTTTTTTAATGATTCTCAAAAGATTTAAAATTATAAAGTGTCCTTATCACACACACAAATTACGTTCAATCTTTTACAAAAACAAAATTTATTTTTGTATTATTTGTGTTTTTAAGAGAATTTCTGCAAAATCCGAAGATAAAAACATTTGAATCCAAAAACAACGCTATCTCAATCTCCCCATAGTTATAGATAAATTTGATGGAAATCTATTTATGTTTAAAATTGCCAAAACTAAAAATCGGCTATGTAAAATTGAATTGTAAGTAAAATGTTAAATGTTGAATCATACCACTCAAAACTGCCAAATGTTGGTTCATCCCAACGTATAGGCTGTCCCATTTTTCCTCCAGATCATCCGGTAGAAGCTTCAAAAATTCAGACCAACCGACAGACTCTTCAGATTTTGATTTTGTTCCACGGAGCAGCGCTGTAAATGCACAACAGCCGTTCTGAATATGCAACCAGCACGTGTCTCCGTTACAGCCGGTTGCCTATCTCTGCTCGAGGCAGGCGCTTATAAGACGACTATCTACCATTTTTTTACATACCAGATGAACTTTTCTGTGAATCTTGTGCTAAATTTGTTTCCGAATCCACCGTAGCACCTCGAGAAAACTTTTTCAGCCCAGCCAAAATATTTTGGGCCTCCAGATAGGGCTTGTGTTTCGCACATTCTGCATTTATATCAAATGGCTTTTGGTTGCACTCCTGACAGTAGGTGAATAAAATCAACGCATGAAATAGCTGGTCAAGTTCGTTTTCCGTTTCAATTCCGAGAGCCTGTGTTCAATTTTCAAATTTTTTTTTTTTTTTTTTTCAATTAAAATATAATAATTTATATTATTACTGAAAGACAAGCAGATAAATCAAGCAGAATCTTCTCTTCGGAAGAGTCGGTTTGCAAATCGTTATTTTCCGGAGCCAAAAATTCAACAGTGCTGTCCAAGAACTTCATTAAAATGTATTTTTTCACTCTCTCGTTTTCGCTCGCATCCTGCACCAGACGGATAATTAATGGAAGCCGATGCCCATAATTGATAGTTTGAAAACAATTACTTTGCGGCGTAGCAAAGACGAGGCCTCCTGCAGCGCCTCTGAGGACGAGGATTTCGTTGAAGCGAGGGACCTCCGACCGTCGCAAAGGTCATGAACCAGTGAAGCGAGCCTGCTGTCAAAGTTCTCCGGCAAACTCCAAGGCATGCAGAGTTGCTCCTTGTGAATAATCTCGTCCAGAATCATTATCTGCGAAAAGATAAAAAAAAAAAATAATAAAGAAACTAAACTTGCAGCCGTAAAAATGCAAAATAAATTACCCTTTTCAAAAGTGACATTATCTGTTTCCTAAAGTGGTCAGTTAATAGCTTCAACTGCGCCTTAGTCACTGGATTGAATGCGTCACCGGAATTTGCTGTGAGGTGTTCAGCTTTTAATTTTCTGACGCGGTGACTGAGAATTTTTCTCCTTTGGTTAGTTTGTTGTTGCTGCTCGCGGAGTTCAGCTTGTAAAGTGCGAACTTTGTCTTGAAGTCTACAATAATTAAAATATATTGATTTTAGAATTTTAAATTGCAAATTTAATCCAATCACTTGCTAATTTTCTTCTTTTGATCTGCGCGCAAAACTTTTGCTTCTTGGTCCCTGGCTCTCAAAATGTCGATGTTCAGCTTCATTTTTTCTGCGTTCAGAATGCATGATGCTTTTAATTCTTGCAACTGGAGGCCCAGTTCCTATTTATAAATTGTCTAATATTAATGAAAATTTTCATGAAAATATTATTTTATAATTAATCAGTAGTTCTTTTCTCTTCATGCAATAAAATTTAAAAAAATTATTCCTTATGAAGGAATATCGTTTTGCATTAATAACTATGATTTATTCAATTTATTACAACATTTAATAAAAAATTCAAACTTTACATGAGATTGCTTTTGAAGCGTCAACCGCACGTCATGCACACACTGTGCAAGCCTATCATGTAAAAGGTCCTCGTCCGTGGCCACATCCTCTCGCAAAGTTTCCCTCTCGTTTGAAGTTTGATTCAACATTCGTTGCAGATTTACCCACAAATCAGTCCAACGACTACAGCCGAGGGAAACCTGATCTGCTCTACAATTTGACGTAACCGCCTTTGAATTGAATTAAAAATAAAATTATTTTTTATTAAATTATACACGTTTATATAATAATTAATAACCTCTAAAAGAGCAAGCTCATCTCGGTGAGTTTGTTGCAAATCTGAAACTTGCTGGTCAACTCTTTCCGCGGCTATTTTCAGCTCTTGCCATTGATCATTTAAAGTTTGCTGATATAGAATATCTCTTTCCAAGATTTCCCTTTTGAGTTGCACAATTATTTTATCCTTCTGTTGTAAAACTTCATCGCAACTGTCTATAATATTGCGTGAGATTATATTTTATTAATTGGGTCACTTAAAAATTACTTTTTTGTTCCAAGATCAACGAGTTGAGCTCAAGAGCGTCATTTCTCTGATCAGCGAGGCCCCATTTCGCAGTGAGCGCCTCAATTTTCTGCCACGAAGCTCGAGCCTCTGCCGAGAGCTCCTCCTGTCTTGTGGTGCTTTTCTTCTGATCATTTACGATTTGCAATTGTTTTCTGGTTTCACCGGCTTCTCTTACGTTGTCCACCTAATTTTAGCCATTTGGCATGTTTTATATTGATTATACATCCAGTGAAAATATTAAAAAATGGTATACCAGCTCATTGCTCTCAATATGAAATTTGTCTAGTAGAGAATTTGACTCCTCTATCTGTCTAAATATTGCTTGCTCATCAAACTCAATCAATGATTCGTCGATATCCTCTCTAGAATTGTTAAAAATATTTCTAAGCATATAATTTTAAAATAAGTGTTTTCAATTTAATTAAGCCGTATAAGCCTGCAGAATGTTAATTACTTTGGTAACCTACAACATAGCCAAAATTATTTTTCTATTATATAAAAAAAAATAGCATCAACCAACCAATCAATAAAAATTATTAAGGCTTTTTAAAATTAATATAAAATTATTTAAATAAAAGATAACTTAAAAAATCAGCCGTAGTGTAAATAAGAAATTTAATATATAATAAAAAGGTTAATTCTTTTTTTAAGTATTCACGCGCACTTCTTTAATTACTATATTGCAGAAATTTACTCTAGATCTACTTGAAAAACACTTGATTTGGTTCAATTTGATTAAAAATAAAACGTCCGATAAAGAATAAGTGCGAATAAGTGGTTATAAGCCTTCAATTATCTAAAATTTCTCACCCTCTCAATGCTCTCTGCCGCTTCTCAATCCTCTCCCTTCTGGCAACAATCCTATCATTCTCAATCTGATCCATTTTAACAATTCAAATCAAAAGCTAAAACTGGATTTAATTAAAGCAGTCGTTGAAAATAAAAATGCAAAGAACAATGATCAGTCAGCGCTTTGCTTACTGGATATCAGTATGCGTTTGCCATGGTAACCTACAACCGGTATAAACAGTCCATTATTATGGTGCCCATAGAAATGGTTTTGGGGGTGGTTTTGTTTCAGTCTGATGATTTACGAAAGAAAATGCATGATTACCGTTGAAATGTTATATATTTGAAGCATAACAAAAATACCATTACATATTATAATTACAAATTTTGAAAATTACGCAATGTTATAAGATTAAATCATTGAAGACAGTGAATGAAGATGTAATATCTATTCAAATCACATTCAGTTGCTCCAAACTTCTCTCCGAGAGCTGCTTATTATTAATGTTGTGCTACAGGAACAATCTAAGAAAAGTTCGAAAAATTCCATCTTTCTGCGACCTATACATACACATGTTTTATACAACGATGTGAATAATAATGCTCCAATTTCAGTTTTATTTACTTAACAGTAATTTGATAAGCTCTTTTTGCTTATTTACAAACTCCTGATTAAATGATTAAGCCACGGAAGCAAACACAGAGCAAGAAGACCATCTGCGTTTTAGAATACAGTAACATCTAGCTTGCCGCATTTTTTAAGGTTTGTGGACTAGGCATTTTACTTTTGATCTTTAATGAGCGATAATTATCACTTTTAAGTGTTCGTCAGACACTGTGAGAATCAGATTTGAAATTTCTTAAACCAAAACCGATTTTCCTCAATGCAGAAGTCAACGGTAGACATTGCTCTTTTGTTTCTTGATAATGATAAACAGCGACAGCCCTAATAATTTGAGATATTGAGCTTATCACGTTGAACATTACAGTAATGACATGGAAATTGTGTTCATTTTGACACCCACCGTCTAATTTGTCTGCTAAATTGTGTCAGAGAACAAGGAATTGCAAGTCTTGACAATATCACCTTGTGGCTGCATAGTATTATTTTTAAGCCAATTGTTCTGGGTCAATTTTTTCTTTCCTCGAGCTCATCAACAGGTGTCTGATGGCCCTGCCAACAGAGGTGGAGCTTCTTAAACTTCCAGAGGGTGATTTTTTGCCGTCCCTCAAAGACGGAGAGCGGGAAACTGAAGACGCTTTTTCATAGCCGATTTCATTGTACACACTTACGTTGTCGTCAAAACGAACATGCTCGAGGCTTATATCTGAACCCTAAGAAAAAATAAATAAATAATGGAACAAAAGAAAATTCTCATTTACTTACTTCTTGGGACTTTTTGGACCTGGCCTCTTCCAGGAGCACGCGCTTTTCTCTGTGCAGCGGAGTACTGCTGCTTGGCTGATTTTGGTGCACTTCTATGCTTGCGTCAGCCACAGGGACGGTCTTGCTGCCAGTTTCACAAACGACCTACACAAGAAGAAAATTTAATATATGTGCAAAAAAAATTGGCAATCCAGTTTACCTTGTAGCTCAAAATGGAGCCTGCAAGAGCCCTGGTAGAGGCAGCGCCATCATCTAATGTGTTCCCTGATTTTTCCGAACCAATAGTTTCCTCGCTGCACAAACTATGGCGATGAGCTTGAACGTCCGCTTGAATTTCCATGCTCTGGCCCCTCTTTTTTTCTGTGAACACTGACGGTTGCAAAATCTATTTATCACAGATTAAATAAGCATGCATACTTGTTTCAAGTTTGCTTCCAGCTGCCTTGTCTGTTTCTTCGTCATCATCGTGCTCCACAACATGACTTCCTGAATCCATGGACAGAGAAGCTTCACCAATTGAAGGGTTTGTTCCCTTGTTACTTGACGAGTCCGTAGGCACAGCATCTAAGAGGAAATTATTTTTATTTTATTTTATTTTTATTTTTTTGTCAAGTAATTTTAGAAGAAGCTATAGAATAAAAATAAAAATGTATCCATTTATAATTTTGACCATTTTTCAGAATATTCAGTTTCAGATTAAAAAATGTGTACACTTTCTAATACTTCAACGTGGCAATTTGATTTCATTTACAAACCTGCAATATTGCCTCCTCTATATCCCAGTCTAGCACCAAGTTCGGTAGTGACCATGTGATGTCTTCGTTTCCCCTCCGCACCATTGCTTTTCCTATCACTGCCATCATCGCCGTCTTCATCCTCATCGGCGTCACTATAGTCATCAAAGTCAAAGTGGAATCCAGACCCACTCGTGGACACATCACAGCCTCCAGAACGGCAAAGGGAAACTGGCACTACTCCGTAAATGTAAAAAAGGAGGATTGGCACTCCAATGCTTACAACGGTGAGAGCAACAAACGGCGACACAAATATCTAATGCAAATACAAAATTAGAGCTAATGAATGGGTATCCTAATCTGGAACTTACCGAAGCAATGACGCCACTGGTGATGATCAAATTCCTCTTGTGCTTGCTCAAATATCTATATCTGCCATACAACTTCCTCCCAACCCACACAGGAATTCCTATGGAAATGACATTGCGATTACTCATGTGGGTTGAAATAATCTTGTAATTTACCAATGGTCATAGCAGGCAAGGCAATTCCTGCAACCAGGCCAATTCCTACGGGGGCTCCAACTAACATTCCCAACTGCCAAAGAATCTTTTTCTTCCTTGACCAAGGCTTCTTACCCCAAAATGTGCATCCAGACGGGCTTTAGAAAAAAAATTATTTTGAGAACTAAAATTTCTAAATTATATAAAACTGAATCCACCTCAAGTAATGAAGGTCACTTATTTCCTTCATACAAAGCCAGCAAAATTCAGCTCCACAAACAGCACATGTCATGTGATTGCACGAGCCATCATCCATTTTCACAATCAGCACTGAACACCTCGGGCATGGCTTAATGTCGGAATCTCCTAAAATGTCAATTACAATTCACCAAGCCTTAACGAAAAGTGATAGCTTTACTTGAGGTGGACAATCCAAATAAAGAGGGAGAAGACGATGGCTGAAATGAGGCCGAAACACCTCCTGAGCCGGCAGGATCGGTTGCGGTAGGTTTCCTTTGTGTCCTCGCAGCATCACAGGTCTGATTTGGGTGCCAGTCTGCCTTGCAGTGATAGCAAAACACGCCTGGGCACCCTGGTCGTTGGCATTTAATTTTCGGGCAACTGGCACACCCACTAGCTATGATTGCAAAGCCACAGTCGGGCTGAGGACACCAGCGAGTGTCAGGGTCGATTGCGAGCACTCGGCGAACCATGAAATCTTCATATTTATTGTAAATTGCCGAGTTGTTGAGTATCATCCTCACATCTACCAATTATAATAAAATATTTTAGTTTTCTTACTTTTTTGGACTTTAATTGGCTTTTTTTAATAAATAATTGTTGGTAAATTCAAGTATTTCTACCATTGGGATGCAGACGCTCAGAGCACTCGGGACACGCTATGGATGTACGAGACTCTGATATTTCCACTTTCAAGTATTGCTGCAAGCAGTCGTAACAGGACCTGTGCTCACATGTCGAAAGCGACGGGAAGCACGGCTCGGGCAGTTCAGACAAACACAATGGACATTCCAGGTTCTGCAATATTTCAGAATCGTTTTTAACTTTAATAAATAAACAGGACTTTTGATCTCTAACCTGGATATTTTTAGTGGACTTTTCCTGGGGCAGTGGATGGAGTTCCGAAGATGACGATGGAGTCGATGCTGGCGACGGTAGAGGAGAAAGGGGCAGGGTTTTGTGCTGTGAAGTGGGCGAACCTGAAGGCGAGTGAGTCACAACTTCAATGCTCTGCACTTCTGCTGTAGATGTGGATTTAGTTGCAGTCTCTTTAGCTGTTTGAAAAAAAATTAATAAATAAATTATAGTTTTTTTTATGTACCTTGGCTTTTCCTCGAAGCAGATCTGTGAGTGTTGGTTCGCATTCTGCTAGGGAGTGATCGGTACAGCAGTCGCTGGATTGAGTGTCTGTTCCACAATCGATTCTGTGGTCTGCCATTAGCGCCTCCGGAACTTGAGGAACAGGCTGGCTGCTCCTCAGCGGTTGTCGGCGCCCTCTTGCTCGACTTCTTACTCATCATTTGGCAACTGGTTATATGAATAAAGAAAGTCAGTGGGATGTATACACATTACACAGTCATATAAATACAGCAAACAAAGCACTGAGAAAATGTAAATAAGATATTGTACAGGTTAAACTCTCTAAAGCCAATTTCTACTTCTGACTCATCGATTTGTCTGAAAAAAGCACTGGTCCGAAAAATCGAGAGGAGCCAGGCACACACAAAATTAAAGTGAAGTGAGCCGGAGAGAAGGATTGGCTCGTTACGTGACAGATGGGAAAGCTGCCGCTGATCAACTATAACTGATGACCTCATTGCAAATTATGTAGGTTAATAAAACTCGCTGCTAACGGACACACGAAAAGTCAACCTCTAGATCGCATCTCGCATCAAGTTGGACCCGATCTGGGTGCGTGTGCATTATCTCAAGTGCGTCATTAACGTCAGAAGACGACTTACACAAGGAAAATGGATTCACCATTACATAAACAAAGCCAAACCCCGATTCCGAAAGACGGACAACAATTTACCTGCACTTTCACGCGTTCCGTGGCGATTTATCACCTCATTGCCGATCGGTAGTGACGTCTGCTGCAGTTTCGACGCAAAGACCAAAGTGATGGCCCGTTTCGGCGGTCAAAAATTGGGAAAATCAAAATAATAAGGTGTGAACGGAACGGATACCATCTGATTTTATTCGACTGGTGTCTTCTCTTGCTTGCGGTGAGTGGAAGGGGCAGGAAGAGTGGAACGACCTGGCTGCCAACTGAACAAATGGGAAAGTGAAATTCGCACGTACCGACGGCAAAAAAATCCCTCTCACAATCACAACCTAATACCAAATGTATAAAAAAGGCTGTGACGTGACCAACTGAGATTAATATAAGTTAGTGTAATTAAAATTTGAAACTCAAAATGAATAAATAGCACTAATATTAGCATTTAAAATTAAAAATTTGAGGTGTTTTTAAAACAAGGTGTCTCATATCATATTATTTATTTGAATAGTATTTATTTAATTAAAATTTTTAAAAAAAGCTACACAGAAATATTCATTCTTAAAAAAAAATTAAAAACAAATCATGCTTGCGCAGTCTACAATAAATTATGATAAATTATACAATAGAAAAAAAACAATAATTTGCAAAATGCAATATCGGAAAGTTTAGGACGGAATGCTCACACAGCACTGTTACCTACATAATTATAGCATGAGTATAATAATTTTTTAAGTGAATATGTACCCTAAAAATTTCACTCGGTTGAAGTATTTTTTATATTTTCATTTGAGATCTGCGACGCCACCTCTGTAAACAGATTGTCCCAGGTCCAAGGCACGTCGGGCTGAAATTTTTTTAAGCCTTTATTATTAAATTGCTTCCACTCTAATTAAATATTATCATACTTCTTTCAATTCAGTTTCAGGAGACAGTACAGTAGTAAGGAGTCGAAGGCTTATATCCTCAATTTTCGCAAAAGCTGCATGCTGGAATAAGTCTGTATCAAGTTCTTTGTAGGCTGCAACTCTGTTAACAGCGACTCTAGAAAATTTAATACTTTCATTGAAAATGCATGCAACGGAAAAAAAATTTGATTTAACTAACGATGGAGCTTTGGCAATCTGTGACGCAAACTCCTCTTCCTGAAGATCATCCAAATCCGGAATGACAGGGATTTCTAAAATAAAATAGAAAATAATTATTTAAGAGCAACAACTTCAGAATTAAAACAAACCTTTTTCCACCTCCGGAGAAATTTTCGCTGTTGTCACTGTAGTGATGTCCCTGTGAAAAAGGTAATATTGAGCGCTTCTAAAATTTCCAATCACATTTAATTGTTTAAAACCTACTTGCTGCTTTGAAACACAGTGTCACCCCAAACACCAGTTCTCTTTGACTTGGGTGGCTGAGGGGCAGGTCCCTGTTAGAATTAAAAAATTTGTCTTATTTGAGCATCATTAATAAAAAAAAAATCTTGATGTTTTTACCTTTCTATTGGTTTCAGGCTTGTGATTAGGGCTGTTCGACAAAAGCAAAGTCGAAGAATCCTGTCGACTTCGACGAGGAGGCGGACGTACGCTCTGCGTAAACTCCTGATCTGTCATTCCTTAAATTGATAATATGAAAATTTAATTACGTTTTCTATAAATACATATAAATTTTTCCAAAATTATTTTGCGATAAAAATAAATTATAATTGCAAACGTTGCAACTTCCTTTACTTTTCATTTGATGATTTTTTTTAAAAAATGTGACCCACAATGTCACGCACCCAGAGGGCTGGAGATATCTTCAAATTCAATGGCCTTAGCTGAACCCCCAATTTCGAAAGCGAGCGAGAGTTAAGCAAGTAGTTTACACCCAAATGCACCCTAAGTGAGTGCTCTTTAAGGTTAAACATGATCCAAATGCAAATCGCGGCTCAGACGCTGAGAACGGACTCGTGAGAATCGACATTCCAACAGTGTCCTCGCATCATATCTCCAACACCATTGGCCGAAAAATTCAGTATAAGACTTTATAAATGCAAGTCTGGTACGATTTCACAATGCTCAGACTGGGCCGAAAACTAGATTAATTAGATCCTCAAGTAAAACTTATTTAATATATTTTTAATTCTTAGGAATCAAAATATTACAAAGAAACCTTTGAATTAAATTTAATATAAATTATTCGTTAGATAATTAAGTATTTTTTAAATATTAACTGAACTTGATTTTGGACAAAATGCAAATTCCTACTATGACCGGTAGATGTCTCGCGAGAAGCACAGCGGCACGAACGGATGAACGGGATTGTCAATAATTTCGAAAATCAAAACCTGCATTTCTTTCTGATAAAATTAAATTTGTGCAGTGTTAATTATTCACCAAAGACATATTATTTATTCTAGAAAAATGAAAAACAGCCTAGAAAGTGAAATTGCGAGACAGATTACCTGTTATTATCTAAAAAAAACACGACTGCACGAAACATAAACAAATAGTTACAAGAAGTTAACTTTTCTCTCACATGCAGCGCTTCAGGCGCTTAGAAAAAAAACAAAAAGGTGGGCGTGAGAGTGAAGTGAACCAAAAACCAAACTTACCAAATTGTGGCCAAAGCAAGACGATACCAAATTACCAAAATAATAATTCTTTGAGCAGAGGCATTATTACTCTTCTGCTGTGAAATTTGCAATTAAATATGAGACTTACTTCAGTATTTCTTTCCTTTAAACGTATGCCGAGAGGACACATCTGGCGGGGGTAAGATTATTATTGCTTTTTTGTCAGAAAATTTAAGTCGCCCCAACAAAATAATAATTGTTTATTTCATTCATTTTATACGAGAGTAGATTGGTTTAAAATAGTCAGATACAAATAATAAAGCAGAAATACTTGATTTTAAATTGAATTGAAGTATTTATTTTTCCAGTTTCTCTTTCTTGCACTAATTTTATATAATGTTATCGAATGTTATGTTATTATACCATGCACGTGTTGTGATGCATAGACATTTTGTTATAAATCAAGAGCAGGACACGTTTTGCCGTGAAAGCAGAAATTATCATATAGTTTATTTATTTATCTACACTCTGGTGCATTTCAGGAAGCAAAGATTTGTCAGAGAAGTTACACCACTCGACAAGGACATAATGCTACAGAAATTAAAGGTGGAGGAAGAAAATCTGTTCTACTTGCGTCACCCTTACCTTACTGTTGTAAGTTTTCATAGTAATAATTAATGTTTCAATCAAAGAATAATCTGAATAAGTGAAAAAAATTCAATACAACAGAAGACGAAAATAAAATGCAGCTTCTCAAATTCACATTTCTAAAATTTTTCAGCAACAAGAAGATCTCTTTATAAAAGCTCACCCTCCTAGAGATCCAGAACTTGTGAAGCTTGAGAAGCGTAGAGCAACAGTTAAACCAAATGTTACGATTGAAGAAAGACTAAATCATTTGCGGCACACCGAAGGTTGGGACTAGACGCTAGTTGTGTAGTTGTTAATAAACCATTTAGATGAGTAATATTTCAAATCTTTATTTTCATTTCTATCTGTAGAGTATAACACAATATTTTACAACAAACTATTCAACAGAGATTTTTTGTCTCTTAATGGTGACTTCCATCCTTGTAAAAACGAAGTCCGCAATAACCACAGATGTGGTTGCCAGGTTTGTCCTGTAAAAAATAATGCAGGAATATAAAAGAGGTTCACACAGAAAAATCATCATGTATAATCTACTAAAATTTGTGCTCATTGCTGATAGAATCAAATTACAAGCAATAAATATTATTTTTGACGCAGTTGCGTACACCAATTTTTAGTCTAGATTAGTTGGATTTTATTCATAAAAATTAAATATTGATAAATGAATTTTTCAGAATTAAAAAACTATAAATTATAAGAACTTAATAGACCAAGAATAAGGTCCGGCCTGAGCAACCAATGCTTTACACAGTGTCAAGTTTCAGGAAATTTTAAATTTACTTATATGTAATAAGGAACTGAAAGTCTAGAAGATTTAAAATTCACGTCATAGAATTATAATTTGAATTGCAAAAAAAAATCAGCTTAACATTTTTTTTTATTTTACCAAATTGATGTAAACTTTGGGATGTCCTGTAGGACCACCACCTCCATCGCAGGAAATAACCCTCTTTTTCTGGGGTGTTGGCGGAACCTTGTTGATTAAGTCGATGGCAAATTGCTTGTTGACTTGCTTCGGTGTCTCAATAAACCTGGCCAATCTGTAGTCATCTTTTTCAAATTGCTGAAAATTCAAGAAAGTTGATTTGAATTTGGTCTTGATCCCCATTGTGTGCATGTTTTTAATCCAAATAAAGGATTATTTCAACCTATCTATTCATTTACCTGCCCAGTGTGCGTTGGGGTATCACCAGAGGAAGAGGAGGACGCAGCTCTCAGGGCGAATACACGAACATTTTGAATGGAATTTGCTAAAACTCGAATGTTTTTTACTGCGGCCATGGCTGATGTTGATTTCTGTCGACTTTAATTCAGCGCTGCGCTCTGATTGGTGGTACGCGGTGAATAGTCAGTGTTGACAACTGCACGGCGTCAGATTTTGAGGCTTGACGGCGCCAGACTATTTATCAGCAAAAAGTATTTCGTATTATTAAATTTACTAAAGACCTGCGTCCTGCAGCAATTATCTGCAAAATTTGACGATTTAAATTTGAAATAGTTCCTTATTGCATGCTGCACAGATGCTGCATGAATTTTTTTTTTAATTCATAGCCAGAAAATGCACAATAAACAAACCCTTCGTCTTCATCAGCATTTGTCAAAAAATGCTTTGCATAATGTTTTCTATTTTCGAATTAATTTTGCAAATGGAAACGATGGAAAAGTATTCAGTCTTCTAAAATTACGGTATAAGAAATAATACTAATATACTGCGGCCAGTCAGCCACCTATAGCCAATTTCAAAATGTTTTAGACATTTAGGCACATTCGATTTTGCTATATATACAACAAATTGATTTTATTCATCTTCAATAAATACGCTTCTTTTCAAATAGAAGTTCCTACTAAAATACTTGAGGGTTCATTTTATGGTTGAAAAATAAAGGAAATATGCAGTGATGTATGGATGCATGCAGATTTCAAGAATGATCTTTATTAACATATTCAGAAAGTTTATTATACAGAGTGAATGAGTTCACAACTAATGGTAATCCAAACTGTGAAGAATGCACAAGATTTCTCTCACCATTCTGATGCGATTAAGCATCTTTCCCACAGCATCCTTGGGCATGGACATTGTCGAATACCACACTGGACTGTCAGGTACACAAGATCTTTCTGGCAGCAAGTAAAAAACATCATTCCTTCCTCTCACACTTTCTGGGCTGAAATATTCCAAAATTGAATTAGCTGCTTAAAAGTAATGGTGATTATTTTACCATTTTGACACGTAGAATTCATACAGTTTTACAGGACATCTAAGTGGGTTGGACTCATTCTCTTGTTGCTCATACACTTTTTTCTTGCGCTCATCAGCATCTAATTTTTAATGGCGTATTTAGCTATTCTTATCATTACAAATTAATTAAAATGCTGTTTACCAAGGACAGATTGGGGAGGGTAATAGCGTAGGAGGACATTCCTGCTCGGGCCAGATTTTCCTGGCTGAGTGTTGTTTCGCTTCCAGTGCTTCATGACATGAGTGAAAGAGAGTCTCATGTGATCTTCTACCTCGGTCAAGTAGAAGTACTTTGTGTTAAAATACATCAGAGTAAAAAGCAGGACATGCGGGGAATGTGCTCCTAATTGCTGGCTCTCCCAAAGGTGCTCTTCTTCAACTCGAGTAAGCAGAGCTGGAGATGGCAAAAGGTGAATGACCTATTTTAAATTTTTAACTATATTTTAAATAAATTACTTCTGTCATTCAGTCGAGCTATGAATTTGGAGCTAATTTGATTGAGACACTCGGTAAATTTCTCATAAAATGCATCAGTGAAGATGTTATCAACTCTTCCACTTCTATAAAGATACAGTTGAATTCCTGTAATTAAAAATTAGTTTAAAAAAATCAAAAATTGCTTTAAAATAGATTTTTGAATCATACCTAAGCAAAGATAGAAAATAATGTCGGGGGCATATTCATCCCCATCTGGCTTCCTGACTTCTTTCACAAACATGCAGAGAGTGAAGTTGAGTTCTTCAGTAGACAGCTGCAAAATATCAGTCTTGAAAAGCTTAGCTGCTTTTCCCGACAGGGCCAACTCTGTCAACTCCGAGTTCTTTTCTTTAATCCACTTTCGGAATGCCAGCACACCATAACTGAACTAAAGCAAATAGTTTGAACGGTGAGAAAGAACCTTACGATTGATGCTTACTTTGAGCTGAAGGTCAGGGTCAGGTTCAATGACAGGGTCATTGTCACCGTCCAATGTGGTTTTTTCATGCACAGGCTCATGATGAGGCACCAGTTCTTGATGATGGGATATATCTCGAGATGACGTCCGAGTTCTTTTTGCCGACGTCCAGTTGTTGTTGGCCGAGCCTCGCCCTCTGCCTCTTTTCCTGCCTCTTTGTGGAGGTTCGTTTCTTTCCTCAGCTAAAGCTGTCACAGTAATTTAAATTTAATTTTTTTTTTTTAGAAAACAGTTGGAATATTATTACTTGAAAGTGGTGGCGGTTGGATAGGTACAACTGGCTGGGGTGTCAGCACAGTCTCCAGGTCCAACGACTGTGTTTGGGGTGGTGGCGGTGGTGGTTCAGTCATTTCCATGGCCATGTTAACTGCCATCTGCAAAATGTCCTCACCACCAAAACTGGTGTTAACTGGTTCATCTAAAATTATAATTCATTTCATATTTGTAATTAAATAAATTTGGAAAATAATTACTAGGAGCAGCAGGGGTTGGTGGATCAGCATTATCATCACTGTCGTTGATCGGGGAAGGAGCACCCAAATCAACATTTCCTCGATCATCGTCATCGTCACTATCACTTGTGACATTGCCTTTCTTGTCACTAGCAACCATCTCAGCCATCATCAAGAGCTCTGCTTCATATGGATCATTTGGCACTTGGTCAGTGATCCTCTGAAAGTAAAAAATAGCTTATTAATCCTAATAAACAAAATAAAAAGCAAGATATACCTTGATTTCTTTGAAAATGCCTTTGGCCGAGTTCCTAGTGGTAGGAATGAACATTGGCACTGGAATTGGCAATGGGAATGGCACAGGCATGGGTAACGGGAAGCTGTACATTGCCAGGGGAACAGGGACGTAGATCGGCACAGGGATGGGCACTAAAGCGTGTGTTTTCTTTTCTTCAAAGTCTATTAAAAGACAAAGAGTTACATAAAAATTATCTCATAAATTAACAAGGGTTTTACCTGTCTGACAGGATTTGGCAGCCATCTGAGGTTTGTTCATGACTCCTTTAGATGAAACATTAGGCTTGCAAGATGTGCTTTTGTTCGAGAGGGTTTTTACAGGAGAAGGCCTAATGAAGGTTTGTTGGACAATCTTGATATGCTGAGCAGGAGGAGCACTAGTAGCTGCAGTGATAACACTGGGGCTACCAACAGAGTGTGCAGGAGTAGCTGCTTCCTGGAACAAAAATTTTATTCAATTTTGCCATGAGTTAAAAGTAGCTTATTTACAATTGCAGAAGAAGTGCTTGAGCTTTTTGAGGCCAGCGACGTCACACTACTAATGATCGGTACATTTGTCTCAGCTAAAAGTGGTAAGAAAAATTAGCAGAATGTCTTTACTTAATCCATTAAGTTATTACTGTTGGGGCTAATTGCTGGTGAGTCCATCATGGCAGAATATCGCGATTGGTATGCCATGCAGCAACTGTAAGTACAGAATTCTCGCTTTTCTCCATCTGGCATATTTACATGATATAAACCAAGTGCCACTTTGTTGCAATAATCACACTTAAGCCTAAAGAAGAGCACATACTGTGATTTGAAAATCATTTAAAAATTAATCTTACATGTTGTTACTTGTAGATGTGGATGTATGTGATACTTTGTGGAGCTGTAAGCACTTCAGAGAGCACAGCTGAGCTGAATTTGGGCCACTAGTTTCAATCATGTCAAAGTTATACTTCTTGACCTATGACAACACAATTTTAAACGTGAGAAAAAAATTATTGCAAAAACCAAACAGAAGCTTGTTTTAATGGTTTTTTACCTTGCACCAATTGCAAGAAACAATTTTTCTTGTCGACAATGTGTGGACGTTCAAACATTTCTTGGAGCAGAAGTTGTGCATGATGTCATTATAGTACACCCTTTGCCTACCAGGCAGTAGCTCATCAAATTTTCTTTTGCATAGCTCACAGCAATCTAGGCAAAACACAAAATGCGTGATATAAAAGGATGAAAATTAACTTCATAAAAAAAATACCAGCTTGCAAATTGTTGGCAAATTTGAAGGCAGCAAAGCAAGGATCAGAGCAGAGTCTCTGAATGCCACTCAACTGAATTACTTCAATGGAGATGGTTTTCTTCTCACTGCAAACTGCACAATTGTCCTCAATTACTGGTTTTGGTTTGTTTGAAACCATTATATCATAGTCGTCCATACAATTTTTGCTGCAGAAATCCTGCAGATATCAAAATATTACTCATAAGAAAATCAAGTTTTTATTTTTTAAATATCTCACTTTGAACTGGCCTTTGTCTCCAATAGGAGCAAGGAATCCTTCAATTTCCCCAGAAATGTCACGTTGGCAATAGCTACACACTTTCAGGCCCTTTTTAAACTCCTCCAAGCACTTGCTTGAGCAAAATTGTCTTGCATTATATCCAAAGCGGACACAATATTTTCCCATGCTGGCTTGGGGAACGTCTCCTTTGCAATTGGCACAGCACGCTCCAAGCTCATTTTGATAGGATTCTAAAATGTACTTATTATAGAAAAATAAAAAGAAACTCAATAATACGTTTACCAATGCATTGTTCACTGCAGTATTCCATCGACTGCCATGAGAGTTTGCTGATTTTATCTGACGAAAGTTCATTTTTGCAATGAAAGCATCGTCTTGTCAAGTCGGGTTCACTTTCAGGTATCTCAGCTTCTTTACTAGGCTCATTCAAATCCAAGACTCGGAGTTTGGTTGATGCTAAAAACGTCAATCTATTTAAATTTCTAAAGCAATAAAACCAAAATACTAACCAACTGCTGTTATTTTTGGCCTATTTTTAAACTCCGAGCAACACTCTTTGCTGCATAAGTAATACTTTGTAGTACACTCAGCATTAGTCTTGAGCCTGATGCAGCACTCTTTGTCCTAAAAGAAATTAACCGCAATGAAGTTCATAGCAAGAAATATTAATCAACTACCATGTTGCACTGGTGGCAAATCTCATTCAGGGGCTGATCTAGCTCTTCGTATTCCGATTCCTCAACTGCCGGCGTTTCAGCCTCCGATTCTTTTGCTTCTTCAACAGAGCAATCAATTTCTTCTACTTCACTCTTAGGAACATCTAGTGGTAATTCAAGGTTTTTGCTTGATGTTTGGATCACATCATCACTTTCTCTCTCAATTTCTTCACCAGCAACTGGAATGTGTGTTGAATGTGAGCCTAAAATCTCTTCGCCATCATCAACCTTAGATTCGTCAACACCATCTGCAGCTTCCAAAGGATCAGCCCCTTCATGCTCTTCAGGGACGACCTCGTCTGCTTCAACAGCTGTGCTTTCATTAATGTTGACATCCTCTACATTGTCAACAGTAACCTTTTCAGAAGAGAGCCTGGAATCATCATCAAACGTGGCAAAATTTGTGGCACTAGCCCGGCCAGAACTTTCGGCATCCTCTTTGTCTTCTTTTCCCTCGCCACTTTCAGCTTCCAGTGCTCCCATTTGATTTGAAGTAGAATCTTCTTCATTGATATTTACAGGCTCCATCGCTGGTTCTGCAACTGCTTTTTCCATTTCAGCATCCACAACTGGAGACTTTTCCATTTCAGCATCTACAACTGGAGACTTTTCCTTTTCTGCATCTACAACTGGAGACTTTTCCATTTCTGCATCTACAACTGGAGACTTTTCTATTTCTGTGTCTTCAATAGGTGCTTTCTCTGATCCTATGACGTTATCTCCTGCCTCTGCTACATTCACGCTTTCCTCTTCAAATGACCTGCCTTTGTTAGCAGATGAGGCTTCAGAAGTTTCCGAGATCAGTTCTTCAATATTAGCTGGAGGTGGCTCCATTTCTTTGTCAGGCGGACAAACCTCCATCTCATTTGAATTTTCCATCTCAGCATCATTTGCTTCCTCTGGGACTTGTGCATATTTTTCTGCAAGAGAGAAATTCAGTATGTTAAACATTTTGAGCACAATTAGACCGCAACTGCTTTCTTTGTAAGCAGCAGCACGGTAATATCGAGTGAGGCAATCAGTCCCAATATTTATTAGTAGATTCTACAGCCAAAAATAGAAGTAAAAAATTACCTATAGGACTACCCATTTCAATAGGCGAACTTCCACCTTCAACCGGTCCTGCACCTTCTATGGGCTCATCTTGATTTGTGCAGGGTGTGGTGTCCATTTCAGTCGCAGAGACGTCCTCCATCTCCACACTATTAACTGGCTCCTCGGCACTGGGGAGCTCATCATCGTTGTTTAAGAGACTCATGTTTAAGTCTGTAAAAAAGTATATTCCATTAGTAATGAAGAGTATAACCATTCTGAAAAAATGAAATACTGTAGAAGCAAATAAAGTAGAAACAAAATATTTTTGCCGGCTAATCGAATACATACTTTATTTCGACATTTCGGCCGGAATTTTGACGATGATAGTACAGTGTTATTTAAGGTAAGCAGAGTGACTTATTAATCTAACACCTCTTGAAATGGTGAACGACTTGCCGAATTTAGAATGAACACGTAGTTTTTGCAAAATGAAACGTGAAACTCGCAAAAATAACACAACAATACATACAAGCGAATGCCGCTTTAAGCTTGTTTTCAGTGATTATTCGGAGGAGCAAATATGAAATACTGTATTTTATCGTTGATAAGCTGTTGCAGTGTATTAAAAGTGCAAATTTGGAACAATTTACCATACCTTTCAAAAGAAATTTGCAAAATTTGCTCGCGAAATAGCGTCTCGCGCTTCTTAATGCTGTTTCGACGCCATGTTTTTGAGAGGGATACAGCAACGTACCAACGTAAAAAAGTTACATATTCTCGATCTGTCAATTTAAAGATCACAAAAATTATACTAAAAAGCAAAAAATTTAAATTTTACTACAAGTTTTATTTTAAAATTAATGCAAAGAATTAAAATAAGTTTTACTTTATGAAAATTTAAAGTCTATTCAAAAATAATTTGTTTTTATTTTGTTGGTAAAATTCCTCCGCAGGCTCTTCCATCCAAGGCTTCCATCCACTTCTATCGCATCGGGCCCGCGCGATTCGGGGCTGGGGGTACCGGCGGGAGGGAGGAGGTAAGATGGGATAACAAAGTATTATGTACATTATGTATGTATGTTAAGGCACAATAGCCAAGCCACAGTTCATAAAGCATAACGCATAAAAAACAGAAATAGAATTGATCGAGGTTTTTATTTACACTTACTTACATTTTTTCTTAACAGAAAGAGTCCGGAGTTTTGCAGCATTTTGTTTTACATCAAAGAAGGAGAATATTTTGGAAAAATAATTAAAAGGATTTTTTGTTTCAGCATTCAGAAATAATAAGAATTGATAAAAATAATTTTGTTACACAGTGTGTTAATCCTGCTAATATAATAAACCCTCTTAAATTATCATATATAATTTTTGAATATTTAGATGATGTATCTCGTTGCAGGCAGAGATTGCCTTGTTGTACATCAATAAACTTAATTTGCAACTAAACCAGGCTGATAAATAAACAGGTAGATGGTAGATCCATTAGATATATTAAAATTGTTATCAATCCCCGCCGCAACAGCAAGTAATGCGTATATACATTTTTATAGAAAACTTCCAAAAACTTCAATGACCAACGGAAAATTAAAATTATTCTCTATCTATACAAAATAATGAGCAGCATTAATTAATGCTTATCGGTCTCTATGGTTTTCAAAATAAAAATTAATTATGAACAGTCGCACGTGACTCGAAACCCTCATAAGACCTATTTATTGGACGTTTTTAAATGGAATTAAGGAATTTTAAACTTAGTGTGCCATAAAAGTAACGTCTATATATTATTCTCACTAATAACTTTTTACGTAAATTAATTTTATTTATTTAAATATAAGATGCTTAAATTTATAAACCGATCATTTTTTTTTTAGAGATTCTTCTAAATGAACCATTTGACTATATTTTTATTCATTTTTGAAACAATATTTTAGCATGCATTCACAATACACATTCAAAACAACAATTACACAGTATAATATAAAATTAATGTTTTAAAGTTGCGCCCCGCGGTTCTCTTGTCCCTTGACTGACTCGTTGGAGCTCACTGATGTATCTTTTTCAAAGACTTTGCTGAATGCCTTTCGACTAATAGCTGCAAAAGTGGCTCGGAATTGCCTGCTCATGAGGCAGTAGAGTGGAAAATTCAATGTGCTCGAGGTGAGAGCCAGTAGGTCCATCAACTCACCCAGGCTGTTGTAGCACTGGGCGAAAAAGTCATAGCCGAGGAAAACGGTCATCAGGCCCAAAATGCCTTGCGGTAGCTCGGTGACCAGAAATAGAATGAGAACGGCCATCAGAAGTCGGCTGGTGCGATCGCCTTTAAGAAATAAATTTTGCAATTAGCCTATTAAAGCGAAGGGGCTAATTAGAGGGTCATTGATTACCATCTTTGTCGTCTTTATTGAGTAATGATCTGCGCCGCTGTTTGTTCTCCCAGAGAGCGGCCAATAGTCTTTGGCTTAGGAAGCTCAAGATGACGCAGGGCAGCAGTTTTATTAAGACCGAGTAAATCCAAAAATTAATGTGGATCAATAGTCGCTCCCCAACACCGCCAAGTTCGCTCAGTCTAACCTAAAAGGGGGAAATTTTAATGATTTATCCTTTACGTCTCTTGTAAGAAAATCAACTTACATAGTAGACAGTGCCGTCCTTGAACGGTGACACGGAAAATGACAAGTAAAGAGGGATGCAAATTATCGTTGACCCTACGCATGCAGCGAGAATGGCATATCTTGTTCCCTTTGCTGTGCACCATAGTTTGCTTTGAATAGGGAAACGCACGGCCAGGTATCTCCAAACGGCCAAGGTCACAGTCAGCCAAATGCTTATTGTATGAAAAATCTGAAAAACAAAATCAATTGATTTTTTTATACAAGGGAAATGAATTTTCAATTTTAGCAAATATCACTGACTTGGGAGATCGATAGAAATATAATTATTATGCTGTCGATCACAGCCACAGGAGGCGCATGGCTTAGAGATCTAATTATGGAGCGTTGCCTGAGACAGTAGCTCAATTTCCTCTGCCTTGAACATTTTATATCCGGTTCAGTCCGCGCAAATAAATATTGAGTCGCTACTTTTGTGACATTACAATACTATTTTGAAGCGTTTGTTTCTCTCCATATTTTCACAGATCAAAATTAAACTTTCAAAATAAAAATTACAAACATGTTTTTTTAAATTAAATTTAAAAATTTGTATTTTTAATAATGTTTTTTTTTACGTTAAAACAGATTAAAATTAAAAAAAATTTATATCACTTTACCTGAGTGAAAATTGCATGGAAGAGAACGTACACGGCCCAACCATAGGAGAATCTCTCTGCTGCAGGTCGGTCCACCAAAATGTACTGGTGCAAGGTATACGGGACATACTCGAGCATGACCAGCGCATCTGCGGCGGCCAGCGCAGAGAGAAGTGAAGAGGTTGGTGCGGCCAGTTCCGGCCTCGAGAGTACCACCATGCTGAGACCGGTGCTCACCGTTCCAGCAAGACAAACAGCGAGACTCGCATATCCGTGGATGCTGTAGTAGGCAGAAACCAGGTTGTCGAAGTCGCCACAATATGACGAGTTTGCCATTTTTGGCTACGGATCAAATGCCTCAATTCTGCAAAAAGAGTCAAGAGAGGTGAAAATAATGTATTTTTCCAAATGTGTGATTGATATTTCATTTCAATTTGAGCGTAACATTCTTTTTAAAAATTAAAATTCCTATTAATAACTGCAAAAATGCGTATGCTTATCAAAAGTAACTTGAAAAAAATTATTAATAAAAATTAAGAGGCGCTGGTTTAAAAAAAATCGACTCAATCTCTAATTCTCTCCAGGTGGCGGAAAGGGGGGATACTCTAAAGTAGAATTTAGCAAGCACTATGTCTGCATTAATATTTAAAAAATATTCTGAAAGCTTAAAAGTTAAACTAATAAAAAATATAAATTAAATGAATCGCCTGCAAATCGTGCATTATGCAACCGGCGTTGCTTTCACACTGTACAGGTTGCATAAATATTACAGGCTTTTTAAACACGACGCCTACAATCAGAGAAAATATTTTTTAAATCTCCATAAATAAATTTGAAATCATAAATTCATGACAAACTTTTTATTTATAATATAAATTAATCATTTCTCAGTGACTTGTTGTATGGCTGCGAATTTCTAAATTTGGAGGTCTGTCCGTGCCATTTTTTCAGCCCATTAAGCACTGTCTCGCACATCCCCCAGCGGGCCGCAATTAAAGCAAGGACATGCAAGATAATGACATTCGACCCTCCGCATGGTTCAGTGACTTTTGCACATTATTTACGCCCGCATACGTCGGCCCGCCTTGGCGCTGCCAATGTTTTATCGGCTATAACCTCATTTGAATATGTCATCCTCGATCAGGGGTTGTGATTTAATTTTCGCTCCACCTCTCGGGACGATCTGATTGATTTTCATGGCTTGCTGCATCTCTTGCAAACGCACATGCTGATTTAATTCAATGAGCTGCCTGCCATGCCCTGATTGATTCAACCACCATCTACTTTACGTTATTTGTGCCTGCGCTCCTATATACACACAGCACGCCACGGAAAATAATTTTACTTGTTACTAGATATTTCAAGTCAATAAATCCATTAAAAATATTCTGCCGACCATGATCAATATAATTAATAAAAGTAAAACAAATGTTACGCGTACTTCACCTAAAAATCCTATCAAATAGGAAAGTATTCCTCTAGCATATGTTATCAATTTGAGTAGTTTATTTCGTTTTATCAGCGATTGATTTTTTTTAAATTACTAGCATTCGTATTTTGAGATCTGTATAATTATATTTTTGCAATGTCGAGAAACTGTTGGAATGGAAACCGTTGAATTGGCGAAACCATTGATTTCTGATATAAAAAAGAAAAAAAGAATAATTATCTCACTCTCATTATTCTGATCAAAGCATTTATCTAATCAACTTCCAAAATCTTATATATTGCAAACTAAGCAAAACTTAACATAAAATATTATGTTCGATGTTGATATAAAACCAAATTGTCTTTTTCAAAATTACTTATTGAAGCAATTTTATAATATCTCATTCCTTTAAACACAATGTGAAAAGTATGATTTATAATTAAAATATCTACAGAAACTTACCTTGTATAAATATTATTATGGTGGTTATCGTCGAGAGTTTACTGTTGAAGTGGTGGTGTCCTAATAATGCTGCAGGCTAAAGCAGAATGCACCTTTCACCCGCAGACGCTGAAGAGGGTGACATGCGTACATGGGCAGAGTGATGAGCCCATCGCTACCCCGCTACTCTCAATCACAGTGCTGCCTTTGGCATTGCTTGTTTACATAATATATCGTTTATTTCATAAAGAATTTAACTTTCCAATAAAATGCAAAAAAAATCTATTATTTTTTATTTATGATCAAACTCAAAATGCAGCTTCTGTAAAATCATTTTCTGAAAGATGGGGTTTGGTAATATATTAATATATTTTTATTATATATTATAATATATTTATATATTACCAAACCCCATATCCGTCATTAATAATCCAGAAATATAACAATAAATTTTAAGAATGCACTGCTTTTTACAACAAATCCCAAACTTAACTCTATATGATGATTAAAAATCAGCCAATTTTTAGTGAAGACTTATTTTGAAAAATAAATATTTAAATAAAAAAGCTTTCTGTGATTAATATATGCACATTATCAAATAAAAAGTTTCTCCATCAAGGTAATTAATTAAAATGTTCTTTGTAAAAAATATAAATCTATATCTCAATGTTTTGTCTTTTTTAATAAATTTACTTCAGTAAATTACTTTCTTTACAACGTGAAAGAAGTCATCCGGTTTCCTGTGTACCAAAAACATGTTATCGCCTTCTCTTGTCTTGCGCGGTTATGTTAGTAACAAAGAGAGTGATAAGAACAAATTATTTGCCAGTCTGATTTTCTGTTTCTCCAACTGCTCGTACAATGGCAATAATGGCATTCAAACTTCTACTTATACTTTTTTCCGTGATCGCCATAAGTATATATTTCACAACTGGCACCGTGCAAAAGTTTGCTGATGCACCACTTCGCACAACCACACAACCGAACTATAGCAAAAAGTGTACCAGCAGAGGCCAGGTATTTTTCAACGGAAGGTGTCGACCCCTCTTTTATTTGAAGCAAATTAGGAGAGAAAAACAAACTTGATATGGTTGAAATAATATCAATTTTCAAACTATAATCAACTATCACAAGTAATTCCAATTATTTTCCAAGATGTTCTCGATTTTAAAAATGTCATTTCATTTTTTCCCCCAACTTTTCTATTATTGTGTGCCATATTTTATTATATGTAATGCTGCCTCATTTCCAAAACACAATAAAAATATTCCTTTCTTAAAATTTATTCCGATCTTTGAGTTTTTTTTTATAATTGCAAAGATTGAAAATATAGCAGGCTTCCTTTTTCCTGTAAGCTTTTGGTCAACATCCTTGCCCAGTGGTTTTCATAGTGATAAAAACTGAATTCCATGACAAGCTATTTGCCTAATACTTAAAATGTCAGTCACCCCGTCGACCTCTGTAACTATAAACACGCAAAGATGTCGGTCAAATTTTTCCTTATAATTGCTGCGATCATGATATCAATCGGTGTTTTTAATGCCGCTGATGTAACTTCTCGCCGGCCTGTCTTGTTTGAATTTTTGAATGCATTTGACGCACCATATCGTACCGCAGAAAAACCAAACATATGTGCCAGAAACTTTAAAGTATTTTTCAAGGGAAAGTGTCGACGCCGATTTTATTGGTGAGCGAATAACAAAAGGAAAACCAACTGGCTGTATTTGAAAAATCAATTGTAATACTGCTTGTAATGATTTGAAAAAAAATTAAAGTTGTGACACTTGCGATTAATAAAAGTGTACCATTTTTCACTACTTGTGACTTTATTTTTATCACTTCTTAAATCATTAAAAGTATCAAAATCCTTAATTATTTACTTTTCTTAATTGCTTTCTGATAAAACCCAATAATTGCGGTTTTTGGTTTCCTTTTTTTAAACGTTGCTGCCTTGTGGTTTTGATTGCATGAAAGAATAAAAAGAAATGGTAAAGTTGCTGAGTTATATTTGTTTGTCAGTCTGCAAGCCCGTCTCTCCAATTGCAATCGCGCAAAGATGTCGTTCAAGCTCTGCCTTCTTATTGCTGTGATGCTAACGATGAGTGTTTTGAATGCAACTGATGTTACTGACAAGCTCCCGGTGCAATTGCCGCCTCCAATTAAAATTGGCGCGGCTGACGCACCACTTCGAGCCAGTGATAATTCCCAGAAGAAGTGTCCCAAATACAATGAGGTATTTTTTAATGGGAAGTGTCGACGCTTTATCTTTCAAAGGAGATAATTTAAAAATACGTACATGTTTCACAAGGAAATTATAATGTTATTTGAAGTTCAATTTTATGATAATTTTTGTTTCTCTGTATCGCATGTTTCGTCTTAATAAAACAGTATCCTCTCGCTAACATTAAACTTGTTTTATTATCTTATTGATTAAAAAAAATCAATGTAAGTGTAAAAGTTAAAATAAAAATCAGTGTAGCCCTTTCTTAATCTTGTTTATACAAAATCGTTCTGTATATCAGAACTAAGTCTGCATTTGGAGTCATTAAGAGTAATAAAAGCTCTTATTTGGCTATTAACTTGCACGGTCATGTACCAAAAGTCGGAGTCGATCTCCATTAGCATTCATTTGTTGTCTGTTGTCTGCTGTAAATAAAACAGAGACCGAAAAAGAAATTTCCTGTGGATTGCCATATTTGAATTGTGGAATGACAGATTTACGATTAAAAGGCGAAACATTTTTTGTTATGCCTGCATGGTTTTGGTCAATTCAGGTGCGAAAAGGCTGCACCAGACTTGGTGTCAAGCTTGCCCGTGCACCAGACACACCTCTGGCACTGCTCTCTCACCCATACCTGATTTTGCAATGCCCTTGCAGACTTAATTAAAGAGTTTGAAAATTAAATGACAAAATACATTATTTTATCTGATAAGAAAACAATTCTTTATGCACCTTCTAAATATTCAATTATTTATATTATGCAAACAATTTAGAGTTTGACTTACGTGAGGCCCCTGAATTAATTTAGTTTATTTGTTACTTGCTTAGTTTTCAAGTGGTCAAGCCTCTAGTTGGTGATTTTTTAAATTAAAAAATCTTTTAATTAAAATTTTAACTTTTTTTTTTAAATCATGTGTTAAAATATTTATAATCACCTGATTTTTGTTGATAAGGTGCATTTTGAATTTTGTTTGATGTTTTGTTGAGCTTGATCCAAGGTCTATAAATTTGGATATTGAACTTGAACTTACATAATCCATTCCTAATAACCAGTTATTCTGGGAACAAGTTCGCTCAAAGCAATAGCGCGTACATTTTTTTTTTGCAACGCGGGCCCCTCCCTTTTAATAAAGAGGAATCTTGAGACTGAGTTGCAATTTTCTCCACCTCCTCGCTTTGGACCATAGCAACAGGATGGAAAGCTTCGGAAACCAGATTATGAGATTGGGCTGATATATAAAATCGCTGTTGCTCTCTCGAAAGGCAACGCGTGGGCCATTGTGAACATTGCCCTTGTGAATGTCACCAAACTGCGAGCGATCGAAGCTTATACGACTCACTTTTATTGACGTTCACAAATTGGCGACGAACAGATGAATTAATATAGGCAGGGGCCTATTTATGAAAATATATAGAAGAAGATTTGTTATGTTTTGTGATAGTTGAATTACTTAAATTGGGGGAAAAAAATCATTATCTACATTTTTGACATGTGAACATTTATTTAATATTTTTTTAATTGATGGATATTCATGACAGACATAATGCGGACAGTTTGAGAAGACAACAGAGGACCTTGCATTTTGCTTGCGCGTGATCCAAAACTGGTTATTCCGCCCGGCTTTTTCAACAATTAAAATTTTATCTCTTTACCAAAGTTAAACAATATAAAATGGAATGACATGTGCAAAAAATATAGCGGAACACTCTGGAATTTTTTGCCACATTTTCTCAGAGTGCAGAATGCTCAATGTCAAATCGATTATTTTCCAGTTTCGTTGGGAGGCAATAACAGGTTAATCTGCGTGCGCTTTTTGGCCAAACGATGCTTAAAGCTAGAGTTTTACAATCTGCGATGATTACTCTCAAGAAAATCGTGAGCAATCATCATATGGAAAACTTCAGCTTTGGGTCAACGAATTTTGCTGCGCTTCTCTTGAGCAGGTTTCTCTCAAGGAACCGCAAAAATAGCCAATCAATAAATTGCTTATGTAACTCTAGCGGTAAGAAGAGCAGCAGAACTGGATTTATTCTCTTTGTTTTAAAGGAAAGAGAAATAAAAATTTGCTATGTGGCAACGCGTAGAATTAGGATTAATTAACACTTTAGCAGAGAATGTGCCATATTAAATTAATATTTTTATCATAACCAAACTTTTAATCAAATTTTATTTAAATTAAACATAAATAAAAAAAAACTATTTGAAATAAAAATTAATTTTTTAAATTTATCTTTGCATAACGTTTTTGTGCAAACATTTTTCTTTAAATTTACATAAAGAATATATTTCTTTTTTATTTATTTGAATTATATTATTTATAGGTATGTGTAATATTTAGGTACGAAATTCACTGTAAATATTGTGATATAAATAACAATCAAAAAAGAGACATTAATTGTGACCAATCAGGTACTAAAATATCGCTTTTGACTCTTAAGGCGAGTTTTCTATTGTTTTTATGATATTGACAGCTACTGAGGTGTCACGCTCAAATTTGTGAGGATAATTTTTCCACTTTCAAGGTTTTATTAAAAGCTGTGAGTATAACTCCAAACAAAGATAAATATCTTTTTTTGTTTTATCTTTGCGGCATCTCCCACTGTGACGTTGTCACGGTCCAGCTTCAAATAATATAAATTCACTTGTTTTACTTGCATTATAAATTTCAATTTAAATCCTACGCTGTCTCGGTGAAACACACAATCACGCTTAAAATATATACCAGACGTTGAACGGAGACACCACCACATCTGATACACTCTCTACCTGTAAATTTGCACAAAAAAATCCAGCGTCCTCTGCAGGTGCTCTTGTTGCTAGGTAAGCTGGTATTTGCTCTGCATAGTTGGTTGCTTCGCAGAGAAAACATGGTTTAACAATAAGTACAAATATAAAAAAAAATATAATTTCCTGTTGGATTGTATTGAGAGCTTTGACTTAAAAACTGAAAAGATGAAAGGCACGTTAATATTTAACAAAATGCTCTTGAACAAATTGCCTTCTTTTTCAGTCGTATTGAATTACTTGTCGTTACTTTACTTTAATTTTCAGCCCATAAATAAAAATTAACTGCCGGCGTTTATGTGTAGCAGGATAAAATTTTGATAGTTGTTTGTCCTTGACAAAGAGCGGTTATCAACTCGGGATAACTCTTCTTATGCTTGTTGGACAAAAAAAAATTAAATTGATATCACCGCAGAAGCGTGAAAAAAATATTAAGAATATTCAAGAGAAAAATCTCGACTTGTTCAGTTTATTGCATTATCTTGAATATTTTAAGTGCTGCATCAAGAGATACAATCACGAAAGAGCCGCAATAAATATTCAGCGGCGTTAATTTCGGAAGAAAAAGGCGAATCTACGAGGAGCGACCGCAACCTTGAATAGAACCGGCCGAAAAGATGATCTGCAACACCCACGACTCGCTCGTGTGAGGCTAGGTCTTTGCTCTAGCGTGCGACCCCGGGGTCAGCCGGCGGCGCGTAGCAACCGGCTTTTCGCAGAGATGGGCACCAGCAGGGATGACAAAGAAAGAAGAAACCACGCCCGGCCGGAGAAGCGACCGGCCGGCCCGCGGTCTCTCAGGGCACACCAAGGCCATCAGGTGGGGGGTGGCATCCTGCCGAATATCGGCTCCTGGTCCGCACTATAAAAAGTCAGGGCGTCGATGGACAATTCGCAGAGTACCTCAGCAGCTCAACAAGCAACAACCATGCAGTCCCTGGTGAGTGCCGCATTCGACACTCTGTGCCGCCTCCGAAGCTAAATTTGCCAATTCATTTCAGGTCGCTTTCTCCCTCCTCGTCGTCGCCGCTCTGGCCGAACCCCAGGTCTTCTACCCTGGCTACGCCGGCTACGCTGGAGTCCCGGCCGCCGGAGTGTATGGATATGGAGCTTACCCCTATGCGGGTGGCTATGTTGCTGGCAGCCCCGTGATCACCAAGACCATCGCCGTCCCCTCCCAGGACACCTCTCGCGGTCTCCCCCAGCCCGTCCAGGACACCCCTGAGGTAAATTTGGATTTTTTTTTGCGAATTCTCAATTTTAATTCATTTTATCCTTTTGAATAACAGGTTCAGGCTGCCAAGGCTAACTTTGCCGCTGAGTACTACAACACCGCTGCCCGTGCTGCCGTTGGTACCCCTGTGGTGTCATCCCCCTACTTCGGAGGATACTATGGCACCCCCGTGGTTGGATCTCCCGTGGTCGCCCTCAAGAGCCGTAGCAAGCGTGCCGTGACCGCCGTCCAGACCCCTGCCTCCACCACCCCTCTGGTGTACTCCAGCGCTCGTTTCGCCGCCACCCCCTACGCCGCCGCCACCTACGCTGCTCCGTACGCCGCCCCCTACGCCGCTGCTGCTTACACCACCCCCTATGCCGCTGCTCCCTACACCTACGGAGGCGCCTACTACAGCGCCCCTGCCGCCTACGGATACCAGTACGCCGGTGCCGCTGCTCCCGTGACCTATGCCTACTAAGCGATCTTAATGACAACGGACTGAACTTTAGTTGTACGACAATCATCTCTATGAGATTCCCGACTTTAGGCCTTATGCTGAAATTTTTCCTCCAAAATGAGAATAAAGCAAATATAGCCAAAATCACTCGTTTCAATTTTCGCACCGCATTTCAATGAATATATTTGAAAAATTGTATTAATGATAAATCAGAGTTAAAAAACAGGACTCTGAAATTTAAAAAAAGGTAAAATAGATAATACACTTATCAAGTGAGAATCTGAGAAACCTGCAGAACTATAATGATTTAATGCGTTTAAAGAATTAAAATGGTCAATCCGTTTTTTCGTCTTCTTTGGTTGTTGTAAAAGTTCATTGTGAGCTTAGTTAGAGAAAAGCAGCTTTTCTCCACAGTCCATGTGCATGAAGTTCTCCCGCATTAGATGTATGGAGAACCAGTGAGATGACAAAGGCAATCGAGTTTTGAGTAAGAAAAAATTACGCAGCACGGCAGCATCCGCAGAAACTTGTGAGCAGATCCTCATTATTGTTTCAATCATGATTCACAAGGCCACCTTCTGTCATTGTTCTTTTTTTTAAACCACAAGCCCCATCAAATTAGCAGATTTTTCATCTTTCGCCCAAAAGATGTTTTGCTTAAAATTATGATCCATTACTAATCACAAATCAATCTTGTTAAATCCACATTATTTATATATCAAAATGGTAAATTTTTTAAATATGGTGGTGCAAGCGCCCTCCAGAATTACAGAAATTTGACCCTAAATTTTGGAAGCAAAAGGCGCAAAAGCAAATCAATATTAATTCCAAATAAAATAGTTCTGATTCACAGCGTTATAAGAAAGGTAATTGAAACTTTTTTGTTTGAGTAGGACCGTTTGCCAGGAGTTGCAAAATATCATTTTTGCAATAATTATATTAAAATCTCGTTGGAAATCCGGGCCAGTTAGGCAACCGGCTTTACTTGAGAGTAAGGCGTATTGCATAGGTCTGTATCACAGGTTTAATTTTATTGCACCTTTTGATATTTTGATGATCACTGCATAGAGAAGTATATATATTTATGTATTTATAGACTAGACCCGTAAGAAATTCCGCATTGCATGGAGATATTCAATATTAAATTTATTGTAGAAGAAATCATAAAAAAATATTATTTGTTAAAAAATATTTTCAAATAATTTTCTTTAGTTTGCAATCTTGAACAGTAGATGCCGTGCCAGCTTCACTTTTGCATAATAGTAAACTGACCTTCCTCATTATTCTGCAGTCACAAAGCTAGCTAAATTTAAAGATAACATCAAGAGACTTCTTTTAAATCATGGCCAGATACACTTTAAATAGAAACATCACCAATTTTTTGGTCTACAAAAATATAAAATCATTGCAATCTGTCCTAATAAAGAACTACAAAGACTCTGCTGATTTAATAAGCCAGTGGCTATGATTAAATCAAAACCATCAGCAAGAGATTGATCATGAATATGCAAATAAAATTTATAGTTAGAAACTTACATTGAAATGATCTTGGGTTGCCCACCCATGAAGCGCCGGTTGCTATTATTATTTCCGTACACTTCTTTACGCAAATCGATTCGAAGAGAAGGCACACATTGTATGTAATTACGGCATGGAGATATTCATTCGTGTAACTGTGTAGTTCCCATGTTGTTCTGATGATTAATGGCGTATTGTAAATTGTTCAGCTAAGAAGTAAGACTAGTAGCGTGTTGGCTAATTATTAAGCTCCTACCGTATTGAAGAAGGCAGGGCAGAGAAAATTAATTTTCAAGTGTAATTTTTATTTAAAAAATATGATGTGAATGATCATATTAATTTTTATAGAGAGAGTGAACGACGTCTCAATGTATGCAAATTATAGGCTTTCAAGATACAAATTATATTTCAAATTGGCCATTGGATAAAAATTAAAAGCGTGCTTACTTAAAATTATTTTTCAAAAAAAATTGCCAAAAATAATAAAATTTAAAAATTATTATATAATTTAATATTTTTAAAACATTTATTGGTATTTAAATCTTGATACTCAAACAGGTATTTAGGGTAATATTAAGCCTATTAAGGCTCAGGAGCAGGTCTAACAGGAGCAACTTAAGACCCATTGCGTGGCACATAAATCATGCAGGTGCAAAATCCGATCTCACGCACCGCCTGCTAAAATTCTTAATTGAAATGGTCCATGAGATACGATCAAAATAGCTTTTCCTGGAGCGGGCGAGCCGAAAAGCGCACTGGTAATTAATTACGGTTGTGCCGGATGAAGTGCAGTAATTTCTGCACTCTCTCGCTCGTTCAAGTCGCTCGATTCGTCCTTAGAAATCCGTCTCCCTTGAGCACAGACCAATTAATTATTACTTCAATTCGCAGGTGCATTCGTCATTGTAGGCTGACAGGCGGACACGCCACAACAAACAAACTGCATTTTCGCGTGCAATTCATAACAACACATCTTGATTGCGTTTCCTTATCGCCGAATTTAACGCAAGCAGCCTGGATATGTCCTTTGCCGTCGAGATAATTGATCAGTGCGGCCAATTTTATTACGCGAGTCGTTTGGTCAAGGTGTTCAGCTCCCAATTGATCCCACGATATTTATGTTAATAAAATGCATCCAAAACATTTTTAAGGTCCACAGTGATTTGCACTCTTTTAAAATGTATTGAGGGCAGAATGTGATTCATAGAGTGTCGCGCAAAATTCTCGATAGTTGCAGCAAACAACTGTATGGTCAATAGAAAGGAGTTTTGGCTCACACTTACCTTACGTTTTATTTTGTTATGCTTGTCAATCACCTTGAATTTAGAAGTTCAATGCTAAAGTTACAGTAAGTGCGCAGAATTGTTCCCTCACACGTTATTTACGTTAAATTAAAATTTAATAATTATGTGCTATTTGAATATTTTGATTCATAACATTTTTTGGGAAGAAAGAAATAAATTTACAATTGAAGCATGTATTATTCAATAGCTTAAATTGAATAATTTAGAAATAAAACTTATATATATTGCCGTTATTCGGCCTTTAATTTTAAATATTATTTTAGCTGATGAAACCAAAGAGATGATTTCTTCTTTTAAATTTGAATACTGCCCATCAGAATAAAGATACATGTATGTCTAATCTATAAACCTATAGGTTTGTAAATAATGTAATAATTATTTAAATAGAATAAATTTTTACTGTCATATTCCAAAATTTTGTATGTGCTGTTAATTAAATTTAAGTGCTTTAAAATATTCACAAATTTTTTAAATTTTTTTTATTCCGGTTATAGACTGAGAAACACTAAACAACAAAACTAGACTTTGTAAGGAAACATAAATTTATTTAAATTGTGAGCTAAAATTCAAAATTTCTAATAATTTCTAGGAAAATCAAGATACTCAACTTATAAAGATCTTTATGGATGAAATTTGCTGGTACTAACTTACATAACATGTAAATATCCATTTACTATTATTTATTATTATTTCTTGACATTGATTTAATCCTGGAACATTATCGTACTTGGAAAACGCAATTGTCCATTTTGCTTTATCTCTTCACAGCCCCCTCGAGAGATAGTGTTGTGGAGCGTAATTTGTCAAAATAGTTGGCGGCGCGTCACGCAATTAGAGCAGAGCGCGCAGATGAAGAATTGCTGCCGCTAATGTGCTCCATGCACAGCTCGCCACTTTTCTGGCCTTGGACTTGGCCGAAAGCCTTGAACCGCGGTAAAAAATTCTTCATACATGAGTGAGGATTGAGCACCAGCCAAAGGACCTGCTTGGTTGGGTCTTCGGCGGACCCCTCCCATGCCTTAGGGGGTACCACAAGTGAATTTTAACGGCACACGCACTCTTTAACCTTTGCGCTCAAAGTCGGCGCCCGCAATAATCGCAACCCTATTAAGGTCGAAGTGCCCAATTTTGCTCAAATCGTTTCCTAAACCGGAATGCTGCCAAGGAAGTGCACTTTTTACGCAATTAGCATAAAAAATGTTAATTTTACATGTTTATTTTTATTACTTCTTCAGAAACAGTATGTTTTTACTGGTTTGGACGATAAAAACAAAACGGTGTCGTTGAACTCAAATTCACTACATAATTAAGTTGCAAATTAATATTGGTATTTCTGCCCCAAGCATATCATTTAAAAACGAAATTTTCCAAAAAGAGCAAGAATTATAAGTCAACACAGTTCAAGTAATAAAAATTTTATTATTAAATTTCCAACGATTTATGGAAAATCATATGCAAGTCTTTGCGACCTTTAAGCAATTTTGAAAGAAATTCCTAGAGAGAACAGCCAATTAAAGCAGCTACTGCATATAAATTTTAATGCTTATTAGTGCGTCAAACAATAGAAATAGTAAGCACCTGATTCCAACGCAAATGCACTTGTTAGAAAAGCGGTTCTGATAAAAAGATAACTACATGCAGAGTTTACAATACGCCACGATATCAATCAGTTCGTGATCTGCGTGAAAAATACATTTTTTTTTAATGACTTGCATCTCCTTATGTAGTAAAAAAATACGGGCATAATAATAACGATGGTATGTGGAGGAGACTGTTCAGAGATAAATGAATAAACATGTGCAGTTTAACTCTTCATCCTTTCCTCTCAACCGCAAATAGAGATTTATATATATATTTGCTGTGTTTATTGTTGGCAAATAATGCAAAAATGCGAGCAATTTTCCTCCTCCTCCTCGAAAATTAACTCGAAGGGAGACTGGTTGATTCTCTCGGCGTGATTTACACAAGAAATCGTGGGGCATTATTTTATATTTTTACAAGGAAAGAAAAGTCAAGTTCAGGGCCACAAGCGACGTGCACTCTTGGCTGACCGTTTTCTCAACTGCGCCTCCGAGGAAATTAAATTAACGAACTCTCGCAGTTGGTTTAATTGAAAGAGCTTGTTAGCCGGTCTGCAGGAGCTCATTAATATTTGTGTGGCTTATCTGCTTGACGTAGTGTGCTGCGTTTTGATACTAAGTGAAAGAAAAAGAGAGACAATCCGCGTTGCACTTTCTGTCGGCAGCCCCTTAATCGCGCCCGTCGCACCACGTCCTTGTCACTACTGATTTTTATGTGATGTTTATATTTCGAGAGAGCTTG